TCTATAGATATTAATTTAAATAGACTTTCTTAAATATAAGTTATATTTAATTTAACATTTGAAATTTAAATAAGATTTTTAGAATAACATATATGATTAACAAATATCTTATTATATTTTTTTAATCATATTCTATCAGATTAAAATTTCACATATTGAAAATAGATAAATATTAATATTATATAATAATTTGATGGGTCAAGTTAAGTTTTTTTATTATGGTTTTATGCGGGTTAAGTTATCAAGGCATGCAAGATATTAAGAGAAAATTATTTCAAAATTAGTAAATATTTATATTATAAAGTAATATAAACGAGCGGGTTAGAATTATTGTTTCATAATCATGGTCTTTTTTGGATTAATAAAATTAGCGAGTTAGAAATATAATTTTATAATAACGGTCACTTTTGATTAATAAAATAACCGGGTTAAAATTATGTTTTTATGATTATGATAGTCATAATAATACTGAAAAAAAATTTTAAAAAATTATATCTAAACACAATTTTTTATATCAGTTATTAAAAAATTATATTTATAAAAACCATAAATTAGATTACAAATTTTGATTAAAACAAAATTCTCGTGCGGATGCACGAGATAAAATCTAGTAACTCATTGAATCAAGCACATTCTCTCTTTGCAACGACATCACACACCAGTAACTAGCTTATATAGATATAGCTATATATAAGTATGAGAAAAGTAATAGAAATGCAAAACAAACACAAAATTAGGTGATTCACTACATCATATTCACTATATAAACAAACAAAAGAGAATCATATTTTTGTTGTTGTTAAAGAACAAAAGAGAATAATCTTATTACATAAAGCAGATTATAGTACTGGATCCGCAAACCTAGTTTTAAATTAAAAAAAAAACTAAGTTTAAGGTACATCAACAATGCATATATATAATAATGATCAACATATACATTCATAATTTTAGATTTATATATACCTAATACAACCATATTCCCCATCCTACTCTTTTGTTTTTCTTTTCAATAGACTTTAGTGCTGTTAGAATATGATGAATGTAAGAAACCTATATTATATTAAAACAGAAGCACATTTAATACTTGATTCCAAACACTTCTAATTTTTTTTAAGTGTTTAAAATAATTTTAATAATTATTTATATTTAATTTCGAAAATTAGTTATTAATTTAAATATTTTTAGAGTTCCTTAAATATAGGTAATTTAGATTTGATTTGATTTGATTAAAAATAATAAATCAGATATTAATTTAGATTTGATTTAAAGATTCTAATTTAAATAATTTCTATACTATTAAACATTTTTATCAAAAATATCTAGAATTTTTGAAAAAAAAATAATTTACATATGAAAAATAATGGTCATATTTGAAATATAAAATATTTATAATGATGTAAATGATCTGATATTTATATTGTTTATATAATATATTTACGATTATGATTTATTTACAAATTAATAATAAAATAATACGTAAAATTCATAATTTAAATATTAAAAATATATTTTTTAAAATTTATAGAACTAAAAATATATATAAAAATCGGGTTAAAAATATTTTGGTAATTAAAATCACTAATTTTGAATTATACATATATATCGAAAATATATTTTTCATACAAAATAAAAACATTAAAAATTAAAAATTATTGCATACACTATAATGTGATTTGAAAAACCAGTTGTACATTCCTTTTGTTGATTAAATTTTAGTAAACTATAATGCTAAATAATACTGTTAATACATCTTAATTTTTTAACAAATATTTATATTATACTGTAATATGAACGGAAAAATTAGAATTATGTTTTTATAATAGTTTATTTTGAATTAATATTAGTGGACGGATTAAAATTATATTTTTATAATCATAATTAATTTTAATACTATAAAAATATATCTAAACACAAAATCAATATTTTCACTTATTAAAAAATATATTTATAAAAATAATTATATCTAAACTCAAAAACACAAATTATATTAAAAAAATTTGTTAAACAATAAAAAATATTCCAGTGCGGATACACGGGGTTAGAATATAGTTTTCATTTAAAATTGTCAACTGTGCACCTTTTAAATTTAAATGTAATATACCTTTCGAGCTCAATGGAATCTAAACTTTATTCTATTTGGCTCCTGCCTTTTCGGAAGTCACTTGAATACCCCACTCATGCAATAGATTAGAGCATTCTCTCAACAGAACATATTGCAAATCGATCCTAATGATTGTAAGGAAAAAAAAATAAAGAGACAAAATCATTAATTGGCTATTCGAACTTAAGAGGAGCCATAGAGGCATAAAGGATGCATGGCCAAAAAAAATAATATATATATATATATATATATATATATATATTTAATTTGCAAGGCTGTCGTGCATCTACCACCGTTGATTTCTTAGTCAAAAGATATTTAAGTACAAAGTACAATTTTTAATTTTATAATAGAGTGAATATTTCTGCGCCATTTATCAAAAATTATTATATAGTAAAAACTAATCAAGAGATGGTGGTGTAGTGATTGAAGAATTCACTCTATATATGTTCATCTTTGGCAAAGTTTGAGTCTTTCCACTACGACTTTAATCATTTTCTACCACTCGTAAGCATTTTTAATGAAAAAAAAAAAAACTGAGACTTATAGATCTCAAACGATTAGTCTTGGTTTTAGCATATGATATTCTTCTGATCAACAAAAAAAAAATGTTATACAGATAACAATAGTGGTATACGAATTAGTATTGTGAAAATGTTTTTTTTTTAACATTAATCATTAGTCATACAAATGTGGTGAGTCTAGGCTTTGTAATTGATGATGAAATTGACTTTGTGAAATTGACTTTGTAAAAATAAGTCTAGGCTTAAATCGATCGATGATGACATTTCGGTTGTCAAAATTGTTTCTACTAGAAGGCAATTTTTTGTTTTGCCTCGTTTGGTTGTTAATCTGGTTATTTGCTAATATCCAAAACACAAGTGACAATTCTTGAAAAATAATAAAGCAGCTTAGATCAAAATGTTCTTTTAGTAAAATTTTTTTCTTTCTAGCATTTGGTGTAATTTAATTTTGTCGTATCGTCTATTATACATTTAAAAATAAAAATAGTTAAGTTTTATTCTATTGCAAATGATTTTTTCTTCAACGATAACACACCTACCTTGACACAAGAATCTTAACGAACGGTTTTTACCGATATTATGTTCACAAAAAGGGCACTAACCTTGACAAACCTATTTTGACACAAGAAAATTGACGGACAGTTTTACTGCTCCACCACGATAAAACTTAACCACAAAATCAATGGAGCTGATTGTTACAAAAAAAAAAAAAAAAAAAAAATCAATGGAGCTTCAATATCATTTAAAATGGATAAAAATAATAAAATAAATTCTTAGTAAATCTTTCGCCAGATTGTATAAACATTGGACTATAGTGAACTCAATAATCTTTATACTGTGTGTGATCTTTGTTTTCAGCTAGGAAAAAGAATATATATGTATATATATATATATATGTCTATTTCATATTAAATATACATATATATATATAGTTTAGACAACAAGAATTAAGAAAAGAGTTAAATCTTCAACTATATCTTTGTTTGACTATTAAATTATATACTAGTATTTTATTTTCATTAATTTAATTAGGAGCAAAAAGATAAATTAATTTAAATAAGTACGAATTAGAATTATAAAGCAGCATTTTATTTTGTATTAAAAAAAAAACTAATCGACATTTTGTTTGGAATGGAGGGAATAGTCACGTTAGTTACACAAGATACCAATGAAGAAATACCCGAGATAAACACGATCGTAAAGAGTTGTTGACATAATAATTTTTTTTTAGCCGCCGACATAATTATGACTAATATTGAACAAGAGTACTACTAATTACTAATTTAAATGAACATAATTATGCTACTTAATATATTAAACGAACATAATATTTCTTAGGTTGTTGCAGCCTACGAAATATTTTAGCTTTAGACAGAATCTTTTAAACCTTATTGGAATCTCAGTCACTATTTGAATCACTTTATTTCAGTATTTTCTGTTTATTTATTATTGAACTTAACACTTTTTGGTCCAATATAACGTGAGACCAAATTAAATAAATCCCAAGATATTTGGTTTCTTTTTGAATGGTTAGCTTTTAAAATTTATATAAAGTACCATATAGTATATAACTTACCAACCATTTAAGCTCAAGTTGAGAATTTCTATAATAAATAAAAGAAGACCATAATTAACTTTTTGTACTTTATTTAGGGGGTGTTATTTAATCATGAATTTAAAATGAATTTTCTATGTTTTATAATCTTCTAGATTTAAAAATTGATATCAGTTTGATGGATTCATTTGTTTAGATTCTAAAATCTCTGCAATATACACTGGATTTTGATTCTAATAATTTACTCATAAAACTCTATTAAAATTGATTTGAAATTACTTAATGTACAAAGATTTTAAAAATTATTTAGTTTTGAATAACACTGGATTTTAATGAAAGATTTGAAATCTTTATTGAATAACACCAAACTTTAAAACTTCTTAAATATGATTTACAATCAAAAGAACCAATAACACTTGATTTTAAAACATTATTTAGAATCATTAGTTGAATAATAGTGGATTATGGTTGGATTTAAATTCTATTAAAAACCATGATTGAATAACACCCCCTTAATATTTCTCCTCATCTTGTAAAAACTTCTGAACTTTTTCAGTTAAAAAAAAATTTGTTAAAAAACTTCTGAACCTTTTTCATTCACAAACCCTCATTTTATGTTCAACCATGTATATTAACACGGTTTCATTGTAGGAAATTCAAGAAATTACAAAATCATACTATTGTGGGTAATTATAAAATTACGTTTTTAGTGGCGAATTGTTGGATATTATTTTCTGGGAAAATTAAGAATTCACTTTTTAGGCGTGAATTGCAGAATTAAGTTTACTACTAACATAATATAGCAAGGATTACCGGGACATGCTTGCAATATTCTAAAATGGGATGAACAAAATCAATTTTAAACAAATATGTTTGAGAGGATCAAAATAGATCGAGAATTCTAGCAAAAGCAAAACATAAAAGAAAAAGAAAAAGACACAGAATCCAATTCTTCCTCGGACGCTTCTTGGATATGGATTCGACGTCACAGCTGTCGTCTGCGATATCCTCAACTTTGTCTTTGGACGCTTCTCCAGATTCAGATTTGGCTACACTGTCATCGTCTATGTCTTCTTTCTCTGATGATGATTCTTGTAATTCATGTGTATCCCAGAGGTCATTGTCTTCATATTCATCTCCACATGTCCAATGGTTGCTTTTCTCTGTTTCGTCCGTCAAGATCTTGACACCACATTCAAGAATGTCAAAATCTTTGTATCTGCTGATGAATTCGAGCACTATCCCTCTGCTAGATGGGTTAAAAGATGGCATGTTCAATATCTGAAATATAAGGAGATGTTCCATTCGATTTTTGGAGACATCGGATAGGACAAACTTGATGTCAGTGGAGTTTATCAAGTGGCCGATAAACCTGCAACGACACAGTAGTCTTGAAACTATAGTAACATCTCTGGCTTGATGATCGAACTCTGCAGAAATCACGACGCAAACCTTAAACCTGTAGAAACCAGGATGAGTTATTGTTAAGGAATCTCCTCTGGCTCGGTGATCGAACTCTGTAGGTACTTTTCTTCCTGGTAAGAGAGCCCACCCGCCATCAAACCATTGTTGAATAATCGCTCGTCTTGCTTGTCGACACAACTTTAAGCAGTTGCTGAAATCCAGTTCTGCATTTGGAGTGTTTAAAGAACCACCACTTACTCTCTCCAATGATTCACAATGGTTTGCTCGTAGCCATTTGAGCGAACAAGGGAGCTCTGGCAATGATGTGAGTCTTTTGCAGCCTGATATATCAAGAAGTTGTAGATTATGAAGACCTTTGATGCAGTCTTCTGTAATCCTCTGAATACCACTATTACATAGGAACACATGCGTTACGCTTGTGGGGAGATCTGTTGAGAAGGTCTTGATATTTACATTGTCTCTTATATCAAAAGACTCAAGAAACGAGAAATGCCTAAGTGATGTGGGAAGTTCTTCTATCGCTGTCTCCATCACAGAGAGTTTAATGATGCTGGTAGGAATATCTGGAAAACTTGTCAACCGTGAGCATCCCATCATGTTGATAGCTTTGAGAAATACCAAGTTGATGAGAGTTGGTATGACTTGCAGACTTGTGCAACGATTCGTCTCTAAGTGATATAGTTTATGAAGCTTTGAAACTGAGGATGGAAGCTCTACCAAAGCAGTGCATTCAAACAAATCCAATCTCTCTAGATTTGTAGCATTTGAAAGATCTGGAAGTTCCTTCAAACGAGATGACCAACTAAAATTCATCTCCTTGAGATTTGCAAGTTGCTGAATGTAACAAATCAGAAACATAATTAATGAGAAATTTCACTTTTTCATCTCAGTTTAAACATTTCTATGTGACTATTGGTAATAATATCAGATAGTAACAAACCTGAGTTCCTTCCCATAGCTTCTCCAGTTGGCTATGCCTCATGTTGAGTTTGACGAGATTTTCAGGGCAAATTCTAAAAGATTTTCTTGGGTATGCCTCCCAATGTAGTAACCTTAAGCTATGTGGAAACTTCAACTCCTCTGGTACGTGTAATTGTCTCTCTCGCCCATGACTCCCATTGTAGACTTTTAGGATGAGAAGATTGCACATTCTTTTAAAAGCCTTCTTGTTTATTTTTAATCCGTTGATCTCTGATACGTCAAATGATACAGCGAAATTCGATCTATTACCCTAACAAAATATTCCAAACTTGTTAGTGGCCAGAGATGATCTTCTTAAAACAATAACATGGTAGGTAATATATGCAAACGTTGTCTTATATATAAGAAAACTTACTTCTGCCTTTTCTAGAACATCGCAAATCTCCTGGGCATCAACTAGAATCTGACGTTTCGATGGCTCTTGTTTGGAAATGACTTTTCTAGCCATTACTTGTAGCAAACGGTGCATTACCACTCCACGGTGATCTTTGTGTATGAGATATCTATTAGCCAGGTTCTTCAACCCAAGTTTAACATCCAATAAGTTAGTATTTGAAAGCACGGATGTCACACAATCAACATGTCTATTATTGAAGAAGACTGCAATGAGGAGAAACAGAACTTGGTCTTTCTCATATAAACTCTCATATCCCACTTTCAATACACTCTCAATTCTTCCATCAAGACAGTTTTGTAACCTTGGTAGCTCATCTATCCAGTCAGCCCGACTCTTTCCCCGAAGTGATGACCCCAAAACATGCAGACCCAATGGAAGATTACCACAAATTCTTGCAACTTCATTTGCAAGATCCATAAAACCATCAGGTGGAAAGGTTTGTTTAAAAGCTGATAGACAAAAGATCATTAAAGCTTCGCTTCTTGATGGAAAACGCACATGGTATATATCATTGATACCATGTTGCTGCAAAATCACTTCGTTTTCAGTTGTTACTATGACCCTACTTCCAGGACCAAACCAACTAATCTCAGCCAAAGCCTCTAGTTGATCTAGACTCTCCACATCATCAAGAATTATAAGAACCTTTTGGTCGCATAGCCTGTCTTGTATCACATCTGAATGGCGAATACTAATTCTATTTTGTTTCAGAACCTGAGAAAGAAGTTGCTCTTGTAACCGCAACTTCAAACCATACTCAACAATACCACCAATCTTATAGTTTTCCCGCAAGTTGTCCATAAAACAAGAATGCTGAAACCTATCAGAGAGTAGATTATGTAAAGCTCTTGCAATGGTGCTCTTACCAATGCCTGCATGACCAGAGATTCCAACAATCTTAGCTCCATCATACTCTAAATCAAGCAAAGACTCCATTTCTGTCAAATGAGCTTCAAGTCCCACCATGCCATCAAAATCCCTTGATGGTGTTGCATTTAGCTTGTTGGAAACATCTGTGGCAATTTTCTCAATCATTTCCGCTTCATTGTCCCTATCAAAATAAAGATTCATTCATCAACAAGAAATTGTAATACTAAACTCAACAAAGAAACATTCCCTTACTGATTTCAAGAAGATTAAATGTAAAAATCAAAACACAAACCAGTTTTGGGAGTGTTCTCCAGCTATGTTGCCTACATAAGTCAAAGCTTTGCTCCAATTTCTACTTTCCTCCTCTGTTTTTCGAGAACAAGTTTCATTGAAAGCGAATCCAAAATCTCCGGATTGTTTTCGTACATCAGAAGGATTTACTCCGTAGAAGACAGTCATCACTATTTGCCCTAAATCTTCTTTGCAATTGAGAATCTCCAATAGCTCATCTAAACACCAACCGGAAGAAGCATAGTTCTTCGAGAGCAATACGATCGAGATCCGAGATTCTCTAATCGCTTGTGTGAGAGCAGGAGCGATGATTTGGCTTCTCTCGATCCCTTGATCATCGAACATCGTAATCCCATTGTAGTTAAACTGTTTGCGTAAATGACTGAGAAAGGATTTACGAACGTCTGGTCCGTGGAAGCTTGTGAAAACATTGTATCTCCATGTGCGAAGTGTCGAAGAAGAAGAAGAAGAAGCCATGAGAGAGGATCTTGAGTCGTTCAAAATCACAGATTCACAGAGACTGTGAAAGTCGTGTTCATTTGGGAAAGTCAGTGTTCATTAATTGTGAGAGAGAGAAATTGGGAATTTTCTTTTCAAAGTAGACGGGAAATTCAAGAGTTAATAAAGAAGAATTTTTTTTTGAAAAAAAAAGAAGAAAAGTCATAATGCAAAAACGCGTAATAAATAATCATAAACTGAATAAACGAAACCAAAAACAAAACACTATGGGCTGTTTGCTTGGTAATCACTTTTGCTTTTAACTTTTATAGACTGCAAGTTTTAAAAATTTTTAATTTTAAAAATTTTTTCTTTACAAATTTTTACAAAAATAAATTCAAAAATTTTTATAGAAAAATAGATCTAAAAAAAACAGAAAAAGATGAGATTTAATCAATTAACTTTAGTTAGTAATTATTTATATATAAAAGTATAAAATCTTTTAAATTATTCTGGGGAACGAAGAAAGAGGAAAAAAAATTAGATCAATTTATTTTTATTAGTTTTTTTTTAAAAAGCTCCTCTTATCTAGCTTTTAGAATCCAAAAAAAAAAATAAAAAGTTTGATTTTTGAAACTTTAAAATTAAAAACATTTAAAAAATTTGTTTGGCAAAAAAAAAACTTTTAAAAGGTGAAATGGCTTAAAATATCTTGACAGCCAAACAAGCCTTAAATTTTCAATGACTAGATAAACTAATAGTGCAGTCATATTAATGGTGATAGTGATAGTGTCTGCGAATGCTACAAATAAATGTATCACGATATTTTATTTAAAAAACATAATCTTAGACTACTGTTTATAACGCATTAAATAAATAAGTAACACACTTAAAATATAAACTAGATAAATGTTTCTTCTTACACACATTTTATACCTCTTCTTTATTAAGTAGTATAAAATTAGAGATGTATATATATATATATATATATATATATATATATATGCCATACGAATAGCAGGTTAACAAGCTATGGAAAGACATAACTTGTTATCGAGAAATATATACATAAATGAACATGTTAATTATTTCTCTAAGTAACCAAGAGCCAATCAGACAAATTGGTTTTTTGAGACAAAACTAATATTACATATTATAGTTTTGGATTTAAGAAAAATTACGGACTTCGGTCCAGAATCTCTTAATAGTTAAAAAGAAATAAAATAAAAGAAAAAAAAAACAATAATTTCTCTAGATATTATATCCAAGGTGTCTTTTATATGTTATAATAATTAAGTTAACGAGTAATGAAAATACAAATCTTGTTATTTAGACAATACAGTGTGTAATATATATTTTCATATAAGTCGACAGTATAATTACATATTTGACTGGTTATACAAATATGTAAATGTACATATACATATTATATGTCATATAATAAATATTTTTAGCAAACATTTTACATATATCTTTGTATCTATCATATTCAATAAAAATGAAGGATTCTATTTATTTAATTTTAAAAAAACCCCCAATAAAATAAAAACACTTCAAAATTAAATAGTTAAAAGGATAATTAATTCATAGTATTAATTCTGCGCAACGCGCAGGTCGAGTAGTTTTAATTTATAGAAAATATAAGAAGAAAAATTTAAACACTGCTTTTAACTACTAAATATTATTAAAATCACATAAATCACACTTGCAAGAAACTGAATATGATGAAACAGTACGTAAATACATATACATAGATGATATAAAATTCCATATTCAGAAAAAAAGAAAAACCACAACAACAACATATCTGCCCAATCTTATTTTCAATAAGATAAGGGACCAAATATTAAAAATACAAATAGCACTGATTTATGTTATTTTCCATCTCCTTTAGTTGAGTACGGCATGTCCAATACCAGGGCTATGTCCAGGTACCGTGGGCCTGAAGGTATCAACCCCGTGGCTCGACGGTGGTTGAAGTGGTGACGGTGGCACAGAGTTATCAGTTTCGATATCCTTAGCCGTCGTCACGGTGGACTTAACGAGTGTTCGGCCTTCAACGGAGCTAAGATTAATAGTCAAAAGGAAGATAAAAACAATGAAGTAAACATTAATTCTCGCCATTGATATAAAAACCGAGACGAGAATTAGAAAAAGAAATATTATAATTTATATTATGTAGTCTAAGGTGAATATGTATTATGCGTTGATGCATGACCGTTTGGTCTATTTATAGAGATGAAATTTACATCACATGGGCGCAACACTTGAGGACTAAATTAAATATTGAGTTAAAGAGTCCGTGTGCTTTACAACTATTAAGTATTAACTAAAAAAAAACTAATTAAGAATATGATTAGTGATTTGTTATCATAGCTGCCCTTTTATATAATTTAAACTTAGTTGTCCTTCTCCTGTCCATGGATATCCCCAAGAGATTCTAGTTTTTGAAGTAATGTTTGCAAAAAAAAAAAATTATGTTTTTAATATCGTAATTTTTAGAATTTGATCACAGAAATATTTTTTGTGATCTAAAACTAATCGTTCAGAATACAAGTGACATATCAACAATACATATATCACAGTATCAACCAAACAATTTCTCTCTAACTAAATTAATTATAGATTCTCTATGACCAGGCTGAGTGAACTTATATACATATGCCATTCGAATTCTGTTTAGTTGTTTCGATGAGTAGATTTCTTAAAACATTAAGCTTTACCTTTGATAAGATAATGTCGATGAAAGGCTAAGTTGAAGAAGCTCGAGTGAAAAAGGTCAGCTTGTCTAAGTGTGTAAAAAACTCTCGGATAATTAGTTTCAAGTTATGCGCATAATTTGAAACTAATTATCCGAGAGTTTAATGACTTAAACTTCAGTTGACCTTGATCGGTTAAGTTGTTAAGCATGCTTATGAATCGAGAACCACAAGTCGGTTAAGTTGTTAAGCATGAAAAGGACTTGAACTTTTTTTCCTTTTGTTGAAAATTTCTGATTTTATATGAAGAAAGAGAAAGCTTGTAAGCATATTGAGATAATGAAATCTTGCATGGAGTGTTGTTTCTGCCAAGACGTAGATCACTAGCTAGAGGTGGTCGAACTCGTAACTTATGGTGTGTATTGTTTCAGACTAAATCTTTTCTTCCAACAAATCGAATATGCTATAATGAATGTGAGAAATCGAATATATAACGCAGACAACAAACACAAATTTACGTGGTCACCAACATTATGTTGAATCCATCCACTACCAAAAAACATATTTACTACTAACGGCATAAAACAAATAAGTAAGGCTTGCGGATCGAAACCTTCCTCGTCGGTTTATAAATAAGCATTCGTTTTACTAATTTCACATAGTTTTTTCACAACAAAAAATCCAGCAGTCTCCTCTTTTTTACTCTTTTTCAAAAGTAAATCTCTAGAATATAGCATAGTTCATTCTGTTTCTAATGTCGCGAAACGGTCCCGCTTTGGTTATATTTCTTGGATTCAAAAAATGTTTCATACCGTCACACTACGTTTAATAAAAAAAAAGTGTTTTGAAGATCTCTTTTTGTATGCTACATTATTCCATTTCTTATCGATTAAAATCGTTTATTAAAGCCTTATATCACATTTGTTATCACAGAATCTAAGAGCAGAGAAATAGAAAAGACGTTTGCTGAATTGTTCTCTTATTTCTCTCTTAATCAACAACAATACAGCTCAAGTCATTATATAGACTTGCAAGACTAACAACAAACTACCAAAACAGAAGCAACTACTAACTGAGTCAATTCCTATAAATCAGGATGACTCTTTCTTTATTTGAAACCACTAACTCTTAAACCTTGACTTATTCAAATGCTAAACGGTAACCAACGTCTTCATACCTTCCCCTAAACTGAAAGCCCTTCTTTCAGTTTACTCTTCCTTCAGACTTAACCCTATCTCTGATCTAAGCTTTTCAAACACATCCAGCTTTACTGCTTTAGTCATGATGTCTGCTATTTGCTCCGATGTTGGACAGTACTCAAGCCTTACAACTCCTTCATTCACCAACTCCCTTAGAAAGTGAAACCGCACATGAATGTGCTTACTTCTTCCATGTAGAACAGGGTTCTTCGAAAGTTTAATAGTGGAACTATTATCACAGTACACGGTCACTTCTTTGTCCTTTGTCCCACCAATCTCCTCTAGAACATTTCTTTCCCACACCGCCTGACAAGCTCCAAATGCTGCACTCACAAACTCTGCTTCAGTGGTTGATAACGTGACAATAGGCTGTTTCTTTGAAGCCCAAGACACAGCTCCTCCTCCCAACATAAACACATAACCTGATGTACTTTTTCTATCATCAACATCACCTGCATAGTCACTGTCTACATACCCCTGCAACCTTAAATCACCACCTCTTTTGTATCTGATTCCCAGCGACATGGTTCCTTGTACATACCTCAAGATACATTTTGCTGCTTGCAGATGTTGCTCCCTCGGTTCCTCCATGTATCGACTCACCAGATTCACCGAGAACATTAAATCCGGCCTAGTTGCCGTAAGATATCTCAAGCTTCCTACCAGCTGTTTAAACAAGGTTGGATTTACTCCTTCACCGGCTCCTTCCTTTGACAATCTTTACCCTGGAACAATCGGATTTCTCACACTGTTGCACTTCTCCATTTCAAACTTCACTAATAGTTCCTCCGCATATTTCCTTTGGCTGATGAAGATACCCTTTTCATCTTGAACTACCTCTACTCCCAAGAAGTACTTCATCTTACCAAGATCAGTCATAGCAAACTCCTCCATCATGGACCTTTTAAACTCTTCTAACATTGTCTCGGAGCTTCCCATGTAAATTAAGTCATCGACATACACACTCACTATCACAACTCCTTCTCCTGATGTCTTTATGAACAAGGTGTGTTCACAATAACACTTTTTGAAACCCTTCCTGAAGAAATAACCCTCCAATCTGCTATACCAAGCCCGCGGCGCTTGTTTTAGGCCATACAAGGCCTTTCTCAACTTGTATACTTTGTTTCTTCCATCCTCAACTTCAAAACCTTGTGGCTGCTCAACAAACACCTCCTCTTTGAGCTCACCGTGCAGAAATGCACTTTTCACATCGAGTTGAAACACCACCCAGCGTTTCTGAGCTGCCACAGCAAGCAACGTCCTGATTGTATCCCATCTGGCAACCGGTGCAAAGACTTCATGGAAGTCTATTCCTTCTGTTTGGTGATACCCTTTTGCCACTAGGCGCGCCTTAAATTTGTCTATCTCTCCCTTCTCGTTGTACTTAGTCTTGTATACCCATTTTACACCAATGACCTTTGCATCTTCAGGTAGTTCCACTAGTTCCCAAGTTTGATTTTCTTCTATAGACTTAATCTCTGTCTCCATTGCCCTTTTCCAGATCTCATGTTGTGCTGCATCCTCATATCTCTCAGGATCTTCTGCAGCAATGAACAGAACCAAAACTTCATCATCTTCCTCTTCTATAACCATCTTAACGCCTTCACAATGGAAATCCTTCATCCAAACCGGTCTCTGTCTTGCCCTTTTTCCACTATTCTCGGTTGCTTCAGCTCCTGCAACATCTCCTTGTTCGTTTTCTGCATTTTCCTCCTGAGTTTCCCCATTTTCTCCTTCAACCGTTGGTTCATGTTCCTCCTCTGCATCGTTTTCCATTCCATCCCAAGCGATCTTATCATCATCTTCTCTTCTTTCCCAGTTCCATCCTTTCTTCTCATTGAACCTCACATCCCTGCTAATTATGATCCGTTTTGATGATGGATCATACAAGCGATAGGCCTTCGATTCTTTACTCATTCCCAACATAACACAGGTAGTGCTTTTCTCGTCCAACTTAATCCTTCTCTCATAAGGAACCATTGCATACGCCACACACCCAAACACCCTGAGATGCTCCACTGAGGGCTTTTGATTGTTCCATTTTTCTCCTGGAGTCACATCACCTGCAGCTTTAGATGGACTCCGATTCAAGATGTATACAGCGTACTGAGCAGCCTCTGCCCAGAAACGTTTTGGCACTCTCATTTCCATCAGCATGCACCTAGTCATATTTAGAATGCTCCGGTTCTTCCTCTCTGCTACCCCGTTTTGCTGCGGTGTGTATGCAGCAGTTAACTGTCGCCTTATTCCTTGCTCCCTGCAGTATTCTTGGAATTCAAGCGAGTTGTACTCTCCTCCTCTATCTGTCCTTAAAGTGACCAAAGTCTGGCCTGATTCCATCTCAACTTCAGCCTTGAATTCCTTAAATACTTTGAAAGCCTCTGATTTTGCAGTCAAGAAATAGGTCCAGCATTTTCTACTAAAGTCGTCTATGAAATTTATCATATACCTCCTTCCACTTTCTGATGCTGGAGATATTGGCCCGCAGATATCACTGTGAACCAGCTCGAGAGCTCTCCTTGCTCTCCAATTGCTATTCTTTGGCACGTTTTCTCTATTCTGCTTTCCTTTCATACACACCTCGCAGACAGCTTCACTTTTTCCCTCGCATTCCAAACCTTTCACCATACTCTTATCGACCAGAGTTTGTATTCCGCTGTAGCTTAGGTGCCCAAGTCTCCTGTGCCACAGCTCGTTTTTATCTTCACTTGTCGCCTGCAGACAATTGGCCTCCTCCTTTCCTTTTGATTCCATTGTTGCCAACACTGCAAACATTCGGTTCTTTGACATAATGGACTGCATCACCAGTCTTTTCTGCTTCCTTTGCCATACCTCACATGTTCCATCCTCTATAATGATTTTGAGTCCCTTCTCCTGCAACTGTCCGACACTCAACAGGTTGCTTCTTAGTCCTGGAACATAGTACGCTGAGGTAATAGTCTGAGACAGACCGGTGATGCAGAGTTTCAGGTTGCCTCTTCCTTCCACCATGAGTCTCCTGTCATCACCGAGTTTCACTTTCTGTTTAAAGCCTCCATCGAAGTCAACAAACCACTCCTTTGTTCCACACATGTGATTGCTGCATCCAGAATCAAGTAACCACACATGTTCATCTTCCCTTTTGATTTCATCAATATGTGCCATAAGCACAACAGCTTCCTCGTCAACTTCTTCTTCAGCGTAATTGGCTTCCTTCTCCCAAGTCGGACATTCATATTTGAAA